ATTGAGTAAACACCTTAAAAAATGGGGGAGAAAGAAGATTCCTCACTGGGTCATTAAATTTTAACTTAGTAGATCAGTATGTTATTCATATTTCAATTATCTCACTTAGGGCTAGTGTTCTAGCAAATCAGGTAAAGCCACTGCCTGTGATGTCGGTATCCCATGTAGGCGTCAGTTCATATCCTAGCTGCTCCATTTCCAATCCAGCTCCCTGCTAATGGCCTAGAAAAGCATTGGAGAATGACCAAAATATCTGGGAGACCTAGATGAAGCTCCTGGCTTCAGCCTGGCTCAGCCCTGGCTATTGCAACCATCTGGGAAGTGAACCAGTAGATGGAAGATTTCTGTCTCTTCCTCTCTTTCAAATAAATTTTTTTAAACCTCACTTAATTATATATACACTTAATGAGAAGCTACTGCATAAAACAGGCAACATACACATTAGAACTAAGATTAAAATGTATGCTACCTATAACATGAAATGAAAATAAAACCTCAGCCAGCCAAGTTGATAGTTACAAATCTATTTAGGAAATATTTTTTCCCATTCTGTCAGTTGTCTCTTCACTTTCCTGTTTCTTTTGCAGTACAGAAGCTTCTCAGTTTGATGCAATCCCAATAGTTAATTTTGGCTTTGACTGCCTATGTTTCCGGGGTCTTTTCCAAGAAGTCTTTGCCAGTACCTATATCTTGCATGGTTTTTCCAATGTTCTCTAATAATTTGATGGTGTCGGGTCATAGATTTTTTTAATCCATGTTGAGTGGATTTTTGTGTAAGGTGAAAGGTAGGGGTCTTGCTTCATGCTTCTGCACGTGGAAATCCAATTTTCCCAGCACCATTCATTGAATAGACTGTCCTTACTCCAGAGATTGGTTTTGGATCCTTGATCAAATATAAGTTGGCTGTAGATATTTGGATTGATTTCTGGTGTTTCTGCTCTGTTCCATTGGTCTATCCATCTGTTTCTGTACCAGTACCATGCTGTTTTGATTACAACTGCCCTGTAATATGTCCTGAAATCTGGTATTGTGATGCCTCCAGCTTTGTTTTTGTTGTACAAGATTGCTTTAGCTATTCGAGGTCTCCTGTGTCTCCATATGAATTTCAGCAGCATTTTTTCCAGATCTGAGAAGAATGTCTTTGGTATTTTGATTGGTATCACATTGAATCTATAAATTGCTTTTGGGAGAATGTTGACTACCAACTATTTCATTCTTGGATCACCACCTTGCCCTTTTTTAAGGTTTATTTATTTAGAAAGGCAGAGTGACAGAAGAGAGAGAAAGAGCAAGGGATATCTTCCATCCACTGGTGCACTCCCCAAATGGCCACAACAGACAGGGCTGAGCTAGGCTGAAGCCAAGAATTCCATGCTGGTTTCCCACATGGGTGGCAGGAACCCAAGCACCTGTTCCGTCTTCCATTGCCTTCCCAGTTGCATCAGCAGGGACCAGGACTGGAAGCAGAGTAGCTAGAATTCAAACTGGAGCATAGATATGGCATGCAGACAACACAAGGGGCATCTTATCCTGCTGCACCACAACGCCAGCCCCAGCCCTCCTACTTTTTACCTTTTATCCATCCGTTTTGTTTGCCTATGACCTGTTTTCTTTTTCTGCCTATATTTTCAAGCAATTAAAAAAAAAAATTGGTGTTGGCACATTGTAGTGTAGCAGTTAAGCCTCCACCTATGATACTGGCATCCCATATGGGCACCAGTTCATGTCCTGGCTGCTCCTTACTAATGTGCCCGGGAAAGCAAAGGAGGATGGCCCAAGTCCATGGACCCCTGTACCCACATGTGAGACGTGAATGAAGCTCCTGGCTTCAACCTGGCACAGCCCTGGCCATTGTGGACATCTGGAGAGTGAAACAGCAGATGGGAAGGTCTCTCTCTCTCTCTCTCTCCCCTTGTCTCTTACTCCCTCTATAACTCTTTCAAATACAAATAAATCTTTAAATATGGGGATTTTTCCCCTAGAGGCTGGTGGTATGGTTCCAGGCTCTTAGTTCCAGACTGGCCCAGCCCTGGCTGTTGAGAGCAATTAGATATGTACCAGAGGAAGCAAGGAATCTCAATCTCTCTCCCTCTCCCTCTTCCCCTCACCCCCTTCTAGCTCTGCCTTTCAAATAAACAAATCTTTTTTTAAAAAATTTACAGTCTAATACTTGTTTTTAAATTATGTTATTATTTATTTGAGAGACAGACATAAAGAGTTCCCACTCACTAGTTCACTCCCCAAATGCCTACAACAGCCAGCACTAGGCTGGGACAAAACTGGTATCTGGTCCGGCGCCACGGTTCAATAGGCTAATCCTCCGCCTGCAGTGCCGGCACACTAGGTTCTAGGCCCGGTCGGGGCGCCAGATTCTGTCCCGGTTGCTTCTCTTCCAGTCTAGCTCTCTGGTGTGGCCCAGGAGTGCAGTGGAGGATGGCCCAGGTCCTTGGGCCCTGCACCCGCATGGGAGACCAGGAGAAGGCGCTTGGCTCCTGGCTTCGGATCAGCGTGGTGCGCTAACTGCAGCGCGCCGGCCGCAGCGGCCATTGCAGGGTGAACCAACGGAAAAAGGTAGACCTTTCTCTCTGCCTCTCTCTGTCCACTCTGCCTGTTAAAAAAAAAAAAAAACTGGTATCCAGAATTTCAATCCAGGTTCTCATGAAGGTGACAAGGACCCAACTACTTGAGTCATCACCTGTTGCCTCCAAAATCCGAAGTGGAAACAGGACTCAAATCCAGGCACTCCAATGTAGGATCCAAGCATCTTAACCAATAGCTTAACCACTAGGCCTAATGCCTACTCCTCCCACTCCATTCAAACAGTGAGTTCAATATTTTCAGTAATGTTTTTTCCTGTCTTGTCTTCATTACCATCTTCCTCACCAAAGTGCCAAAGTACTCATGTTTAGGATACATTACTACACTGCTCTATAAAATGAGCTATAATAGTGTATACTACACCTTCAGCTTAGATTAATGTTTCTCTAAGTCTTTTTATAAAAACCTACTAAAGTTTGTGCTGGTACAATGGCACATACGGTTAAGCTGCCAATTGCATTGCTGGCATACCATATGAATGCAGGTTAGAGTCCAAGCCGCTCCACTTCTGATGCACTCTCTGTTAATGGCCTTCGAAAGCAGCAGAAAATGGCCGAAATGCTTAAGCCCCTGCACCCACATGGGAGACCAGGATAAAGCACCTGGATCCTGATTTTGGCAGCCATTTGGGGAGTGAACCAACACATGGAAAACTTCTCGCTGTCACTCCCTCTCTGTAACTCTGCCTGTCAAATAAAATAACCTTTAAAAAAATCTATGAAAGTCAAGATCATTCTCTGCTTCATATCCTATGAATATCGTGACTAAATAGGTCCTTCATAAAAGATAGTGAAGAAAAAGACAACTGATGAATTCTCAAGACCCCCCAAAGCCCATTGCTCTCTCATAAGACCACACAGGGAAGATAAAACTAAATATTCTTTTGACTGCTGATATAAAAGTTGCTTTAGGGGGCTGGTGCTATGGTACAGTAGGTAAAAGCCACCGCCTGCAATGCAAGCATCCCATATGGGCGCCAGTTCAAGTCCCGGCTGCTCCACTTCCGATCCCAGCTCTCTGCTATGGCCTGGGACAGCAGTAGAAGATGGCTCAAGTCCTTGGGCCCCTGCATCTGCATGGGAGACCTGGAAGAAGCTCCTGGCTCCTGTCTTCAGATCAGCACAGCTCTGGCTGTCATGGCCAACTGGGGAGTGAACCAGTGGATGGAAGACCTACCTCTACCTACCTACCTCTCTCTCTCTCTCTCTCTCTGTAACTCTTTCAAAGGGATAAATAAATCTTTTTTAAAAAGCTGCTTTAAACACCTACATTTTCTTCTTCTCTTGATTATACTCAACAAATCAATTTGTGGTTTAAGGGCAAACTAAAAGATTTAACACATGATTTTTTGCAACCATGTCCCCAAACTCAATTAAATGGCATTACCAATTCTATAATGAATTTTTTAATAATCATTTTTAAGAGATGATGCCCAATTTAAACTGGTACTGGTGAATTAACAATAACTGCAACTTATCAAACTATATATATGTACTCTTGTGTATTTTGAAAAATGCTTACTTTAAATAGAAAAAAAGCAATAACTATACAGTGTCCTACTTATTGTCCTTTCTCCCTTTTTTAGAAGGATTTCACGAGACAACAACTGATTTCCCAATTTGTATGGGGTATCAATGTTACATCCACATGTATTTTATTAAGTATGTATTATATATAAGGTAATACTGTGCTGCTACTTTAAACACACACACACACACACACAAAGGCCTAATCCTTCCTAAAGTAGCTTATATTTAAAAATGGCAAAGTTTTCCAAATAGCAATCATAGTAATCTCAAATCCAATCCACAAGGCAGTTCAATGATGGCACAATAAATTGATACAAGGCATTCTGACAAAATTCCTGAGTGTTAGGATTTAAGCATCTACAGGAATAGCCCTTTAATGCCAGATTTAAAAGAGTTTAAGATATTCAAATGCTACAACATAACTGTCTTTCAGTCACAGGCATTGTTTCAATGATAAAATAGCCCAAAAACCATTAAAGGAAATAATTTCCACATAAAGCTATCATATGATTCTGATCTCTAATCTGACTTGTAAATTAGATGTGTGTAACTTCCACTATCCAGCAACTTGCAGATTATTTCCCTTGCAGGATGGCTATGTTAGTTGCACTGCACTCAGACCAAAAGTGTAGTGGCAGTGGCACACTGACAAACTGAATTTGAACAGTATATGTTTTAAATAAAAATCTCAAGATAAGTCATGAGGGAACTTTTTTCTGTCTGTGGATGAGCTGTACCAGCTATGTAAAATGTAATCAATGTTTTTATATAGTAAACTTTCAGAGTTTTTGTTGAATGCTTAGATTTTTTAATGTTGAAGATTCACTGGGGGGGGGGGGGGGATGCGATGCAACTTTGAGAAAAGGTACAAACCTCGTTTTCCAGTACTGCTTTCAAATCTTCTAATGATGGTACAGATAGCTGCATACATCAAAAGGGGAAACATAAGTTTCATTCAGAAAATACTTTGATTTTCCAGTTTTCTTATGACCCAACGGTTCTAAAAAAAATACATATATTCCCAGTTCCTATCTGGTTGTTAAATCATTTTAAGTGGATTTAGTTAAGAGATCTGAAGATATTAATTTACTTAATATTGAATACAAAAGTCTATTCAAAATAGTGTTTTCCTAGAAAATTTTGGGTATAGTAGCTTTCTGAAAATAGAAATATCTCTTAAATATTCTATGTGACAGCACAATTTCACAAATTTCAAGCAAGAACTTCCATGTGAAAATCACTATCGTTAAATTAACCTTTTTAGAAAACAGTTATTTTTCTTCATTGTTTTTCCCTAAGAATAAGAGAATCCAGTACTAAAAGATGGTAACACTATGAGTTTCATAAAGATCTTTAAGATTCAATTATCAAAGCAATTGTCACATATCATTATGGAATGATAATACATTACATAGTCAACATCAAAATTTACTACAACCATACCAACCATCACTAACAATTTTTTTTTTATTTTTTTATTCAGTCATAAAGTCCTTGGAATCATAGTAGGGCTTGATACCATACTGGTGTCACACTCTGTGGCAGCCTTCTTTTTCAACTTCTTTGTCTACTAGTGCATCACTGGACCCAGCAGGCAGCTCACTCAGATAATTTCAGTAATGGATTTTGGCTCTCTGTGCATAATAGATGACAATCCTTATGAAGTATCCAGTTTGTCTTATAGCTGAGAGATTTGAACCTGCTGCAGATGTCACATCTAAATTCTTGAACGGATTTTTATCATCAGTGTCACCTATAAAACAAGACAGTATCACCAATAGCATTGTCCTGGAGAGCATCTATTGCAATATTGCTAAGCTTTCTGCATCATAACTGATATTCATTTATTTGCATAAAATGTGGGTCAGCCCATGGACCAAAGAGACATGTTGCCTCTTCTTGTATAACTGTGACATAAGAATGTGTTTATGTTTTTAAAAGATTAAAAAAGGCTTATTAAGAAGATTAATATTTTCTGACAAGTTAAAAGTTAAATGAAATTCAAATTTCAGTTTCCATAAATAAGTCTATTGGAACACAGCCACATTCCTTCACTTAAGTATTCTTCCTCAGCTACTTTCTCACTACAGTGACACACTTGAGTAGGTGTATCAAAGACCATCTGACCCATAAAGCCTACAATATTTACTCTATGGTCCTTAAAAGAAAAGGATTGCCAACTCTGGCCAAGAGGGCTTTTTGGTACATAGGTAATGTGATCCCTAGCATTCGCTTCATGAAGAATCTAAGTAGAAAGATTATAATAACCCAATTTTCCCCTGCCCAACTTCCATTCTTTCAACTTAGTACTTGCTGGATCAGCCTTGTTACCACAATGCAGGTGGCTAAAATGGCTTGGCTCTTCCTCTGACTCAGCCTTACAGCCTTTCCTCAATTCAAGGGGTCAATACTGACCTGGGCAGAAACCAGACAGACCTCAGTTTCAGGTCAAATTCTAGTTTTCCAATGTTGGCCTCTGCTGTGATCTAGATTTCTGGTTCTAGATTACTACTTTATATCAACCGTTCTTCATAACAGGCTTCCTGTACTAGATACCCATGTATTACATAGCTGTACTTCCTGCCAGACACACCAGGACAACAGGCTATGTCATAGCATGCTTTTAAACAGTACTGCTGATCCAAAGTTCTATTCTTGCCTATAGCATCCACCCTGGAGTGAAAATTTGTTTGGGGGTTCTTGCGAATAGCCTGTATAGCCAACACTCCACCGCTCCTGATTCTGACTGTTCCTGGAGTTCATCACCTTCCTTTTACCTTCAAAATTCTGGCCTAAGGAGTTCAACCTTACCAACCAGTCTGTCATTTTGTTGCTTATATTCAGCTGATAAAATAACCGAGCAAGAAAACAAACTCCAAACATGCAGAGAGATACCCCTACCTACAAATATACAACTTAAAATATTTTTAGCCTCTGCTGCAAAAGGGAATATATCATCCCCTAGCATCTTCTAGAACATCCCTTCACTAGTAGCTGGTCCAAAATTTCTATACCTGCTTTATCTGAGAATTTTACCTAACAACTTATACCCAGACAGAATGCCCAAGATACCTATGACTCTTGAGCATGGACAGCTTAAGAATATCTCTCTTGCTGCTGTTAAAGCTCTAATAATTCTGCTTCCATTGAAAAGCAGAAACAGAGATTTCCTGCCACTGCTGTAGTGCAATGAAGAAACATATTTGGTGAGATTTCCATGAGTCAAAATGTAATTCTCCACAGAAAGATGTTAAAAGCCCACAATGAGGTGTAATGCCCATTATATTAACAGCACTACAGAATCCATCTGTAACTCATATTATATTATTGAAAATAACTAATTCACAACATTCAGAAATTGTAGATTGGCTGTACCAGGAAATAACTATGAAACATCAGGAAAGATTAGCCTGGTATACACACTTCAGAGAAAACGACAGTTTTGTTTCAGAAAAGTATATCTCACTATAATTCTGAAGTAGGTTACCACAGTGAACAACTGTGAAAACTACATGCACATCTCACAGGCCAAAGAGCAGTATCAAACATGAACAGACCAACTGGAATAACCATGAACCATATCTCAATTTGGGATAGCAACCACATAGGTAACATCATCTTAAATAAATATGAAAATATATGTATGTCCTAAGAAGTCCAGCGACATATCCTTCCAATCAGAAAAAGAAATCAGAGGCACACAGACCTCATTTCAAAGGAGTATTCAAAAGACTAAAACTTTAGAACTTCACTTATTTGTTGAGTCCAGCCTCCTTCCCTTAAAGAGATAATTCTCAAGCTTTTTAGCATCAGGATTCCTTTGTGTTCTTAAAAATTAATGAGCAGTCATTAAGAACTTTTGTCTATGTGGAATATAATCATTAATACTTACATTAAATTTTAATATTAATTCAAAAAACTTTAATGTAACATATTTAGTAACATATTTTATTTAAAATAATTCCTTTCCAAAATTTAAAAAAAAATCTTAGAGAAGTGATATTGACAAACAAGTTTTGTGAATTTCTTTCATCTCTACCTTAATAGATGACAGTTGGACACTCTTAACAGTTTCTCATACAATCTGTTGTGACTGATTGATTTAAATGGAAAAAAAATGGCCTTGCACAAATATGTAGCAACAAAACAGAAGTATGTATTAATATTAATATCCTGCCAGGTTAATTGTGGATGTTATTTTTTGATAGTATACCAAAACTTGACAAGCAGAAAACAAAGTCAAATTACAAAACTCAGTAGCATTGTTACACACCAGTGGAAAATCATCTAAAAAGAAATCAAGAAAATGTGCCGGTGCTGCGGCTCACTAGGCTAATTAATCCTCCACCTGCGGCACTGGCACTCTGGGTTCTAGTCCTGGTTAGGGCACCAGATTCTGTCCCGGTTGCTCCTCTTCCAGTCCAGCCCTCTGCTGTGGCCCTGGAAGGCAGTGGAGGATGGCCCAAGTGCTTGGGTCCCTGCACCTGCATGGAAGACCAGGAGGAAGTACCCAGCTCCTGGCTTCTGATAGGCACAGCGCCGGTCGTAGCAGCCATTAGGGAAGTAAACCAATGGAAGGAAGACCTTTCTCTCTGTCTCTCTCTCACTGTCTATAACTTTCTCTCTGTCTGTCTGTCTCTCTCTCTCTCTCACTGTCTAATTCTGCTTGGCAAAAAAAAAAAAAAAAAAAAAAGAAAGAAAGAAAAAAAAAGAAATCAAGAAAGCAATCTCATTTAAAATAGCTACAAACAAAATAAAATACCTAGGAAAAAATTTAAGCAAAGATCTCCACAGTGAACACCATAAAACACTGGTGAAAGAAACTGAAGAGGACATAAAGAAATGGAAAGACATCCCGTGTTCATAGATTGGAAGAATCAATAACATTACACAGCAATTTACACAGCATTACAAAGCAATTTACAGTATCTGTGCAATCCCTATCAACATACAAATGTTATTTTTTCAGAGAACTAGACACAATACTACCAAAATTTGTGTGGAACCACAAAAATACCAAATATTGTCAAAGCAATCTTGAGCAAAAAGATAAAACAGGAGAGATTATATGACCTGACTTTAAAATATATTACAAAGCTACAGTAATTAAAACTGCATAGTATTGGCATAAAAATACACACACAGATGAACGGAACAGAATAGTGACCTTAGAAGTAAACCAACAAAAAAATGCTAAGAATACACACTGGGAAAATGTCCAGTGTTTTCAATAAATGGTACTGGGAAAACTGTATATCCACACACAGAAGAATCAAATTAGACCCCATATCTCTTACCATTTTCAAAAGGCAACCCAAAATGGATTCAAGATGAAAATTTGAAACTAGTAGAAGAAAACACAAGGGAATCACTTCAAGGCATTGAAATAGGCAAGGATCTTTTTTTTTTTTTGAATCAGACTCCAAAAGCACAGGAAATACAGGCAAAAGTAGACAGATGTGATTTCATCTAAGAGCTTCTGCACAGCAAAGGAAATAATAAAATTAAGAGGCAACCTACTAAGTAAAAGAAAATACTTTGCAAGTTAACATTTGACAAGGAGTTAATAGCCCACATTTACAAAGAACTCAACACAACAGCAAATACCCCAAATAATCCAATTTAAACATGGACAGATCTAAATGACATTTATCAAAAAAGGACATAAAAATGGCCAATAGGTACATGCAAAATGCTCATATCACTATTCTTCTGGGAAATGCAAATCAAAACCACAATGAGATTATCACAAAGACAAAAGATAACAAATCTGGGCAAAGATGTAGAGATAAAGGTAATGAATGTACCTTATTGTGGAAAACAGTATGTGCTTCCGTAAACACTAAATATAGAACTACAATGTGATCCAACAATACTTGGGTATACATCCAAGGAAAGTGAAATCAGTCTGTCAAAGAGACATCTGTGTTCCATGCCTAAGGCAGCAGTGTCCATCAACTAACAAATAAAGAAAATGTGGAGGGGCCGGTGCCATGGCGCAGTAGGTTAATCCTCCTCCTGTGGCACCGGCATCCCATATGGGCGCCAGTTCTAGTCCTGGCTGCCACTCTTCCAATGCAGCTCTCTTATGGCCTGGGAAAGCAGTAGAAGATGGCCCAAGTCCTTGGGCCCCTGCACCATGTGGGAGACCAAGAAGAAGCAGCTGGCTGCTGCCTTCAGGTCGGTGCAGCTCCAGCCATTGCGGCCATCTGGGAGTGAACCGACAGACAGAAGATCTTTCCGTCTGTCTCTCCCTCTCACTGTCTGTAATTCTACCTCTCAAATAAATAAAATCTTTAAAAGAAATAAAAAATAAAAAAATGTGGAACACATATAGAACAGAATACTATAAAGTCATTAAAAAGGATGAAATTAGGGCTGGCACTGTGGTATAGTAGATAAAGCCACCACCTGCAGTGCCGGCATTCTATATGGGCACTGGTTCAAGTACCAGCTGCTCCACTTCTGATCCAGCTCTTTGCTATGGCCTGAGAAAGCAATGGAAGATGGCGGAAGTGCTTGGGCCCCTGCACCTACATGGGAGACCCGGAAGAACTCCTGGATCAGCTCAGTTCTGGTTGTCATGGCCATCTGGTGAGTGAACCAGTTTATGAAACACTTCTCTTTCTCTCTGTAACGCTGCCTTTCAAATAAGTAAATAAATCTTTAATAAAAAAAAAAAAGATGAAATTTTTTTAAAGATTTTATTTATTTGAAAGGTAGAATTACAGACAGTGAGAGGGAGAGACAGAC